GAGCATAGTCTCCAGGAGGGTCTGCGCCATGTTTCTTTCCTCTCCTTTCAGAGTAAGCCATACCATCTTATATTATTCTGATCTTGTGAATTATTCATTCAAGTTTCTCTTCTGTCAGTTAAATTACCTTCATTACTGCACACAGAAATGTTGTGTTCAGAGCTTGTCTAACCTATGCTAAGTAGACAGACCTGGGAACAAATCAAGAATGAGGACCTGAATTTGGGAGGTGTAATCTGGATCTTGACTGATTTCACAGAATGGTTTGAGTTGGAAGGAACCTTAAAGACCATCTAGTTCCAACCCCCCTGCCATGAGCAGGGACACCCTCCACTAGACCAGGTTGCTCAAAGCCCCATCCAACCTGGCCTTGAACACTTCCAGGGAGGGGGCATCTACAACTCCCGAGAGCCTTCTGTGATTAAGCAAACAAACTCAGGGACACAAGTGACTGATCTTAGTCATCATTTGAGACTAGGTCCAGTGTCTGGGAACCTTTGCATTACATCAGCGCAAGTCTCAAGCTTGAGCCACTCCAGAAAAAAGCTCCAAGGTTTCAGAAAGTGTGAGTATTTCTCCACTACTAAGCTATTTATGACTGCCCACCTGCAAACCTTTTATGACCCCACCGGTACTCCAGCTGTGATTAGAGACTAAAATACCACAGTCTGTCTTCATGGAAATCCCAACAGGAAAGCCTCTTCTCCACAAAGCTGTTCAGGAAGGGTATGGACATCCAGCTATACTATTTGAAGTTTATTCACTCCTGGCCTTGGCCACTGACGATGATTTGTGTTTGCATTTTATCCCCAGGATGCCATCCATTAGGCTATTATTTCTTTTTCTTTCCTCCTGATTAACAATTTCCCTCCTTCTTGCATGTATCCATACCACTATGTCTTCCCTCAGCACTTGCCTAGTTCATAAAAGGGTAGTTTTCACAACAAAAACCCAGCACCGCCTCTGCACATCTACTCAAACTATCCTCAGGGCTGCTTTTTCCACCTCCCCTTTCCACATTAGGCTGGATGCCTTTCTGTTGAGGGCTGCTGTTGTTAAGGCAGCCATTACAGAGTCAGAGAAGTATTTGCATGGAAATGAAAGTTCATCTCACAACATGACATGTTTTTCTGTCACATGCCCTGGTCATGTACCCTGGTCTGCGCTCCAAGACAAAACTGTTTCAGAGGCAGCCTATGCAGGGTGATGACAATGCAGTCGAACAGGAGAATTAAAATGTGGTCTGTCCTGCAGGACAGAGCTGTGATAACCAAGGTTTGAGTATGTTTCTGTAACAGTTGCAGAAACATTTATGATTTTTCTCCTCTTATATATATTCTTAATATAAAGAATCGTATTACCTCTGGCAACTCTCCAGATTTTGTAATCGAAGATCAGCAGAGTTAATCCAAACTGTTTTCTCCCTGTCAGTCAGTCCATTAGGGGAAGAAAGAAATAAGTCAGTACACAAGTATCCATTAAAGTCACACAAAATACACAAACTAAACTTCCTCTCTCCAATTCCTGATCAGCCCGTAGGGAAAAAAGAAATCTAGATACCAAAACTTCTCAAGGCTGTGCTTTGCCAGGTAGATGGTTTGTGATTTTATGAATCAATACTAATAGCGCAAATAAAATACTACAATACCAGCCAGTACTAATAGTGCAACTAAATACTCGGAAAGTGTAAGATCTGCACGTTATATGATACAGATAAAACAGCTTCTGCAAATTGGCTTTGGGTTCCCCATATAGTCCGGACAAAATCTGGTGTTAACTCAGAGCTCTCCTTGTGTCTGGCTTCTTTATAATCTGTCCAACCTGTCCTAGCATACACCAGCTACAGCTGATCATCAGGGGCCATGCTAAACACTGTAATTTCTGGTCACCAGACTCACCTTAATTCTTGTTCCACCTTAGCCAGCCTTTCTATCAGATCATGATATGATCCCCCCAGCTGTAAATTCTGGTCTGTACAGGCTGATGGTTGCTGTGGAATGTCACATATTTTTCTGAGGAAAAAAAGAAAATGGAATTCTCAAAATGAAGGGAAAAAAATTTTGCATACTTTAAACAGGTACCTTATAAAAGACAGCCCCATGAGCAGAGGCTCCATGGCTACATGCACACTAGCGAATAGATCAGAGCCAGGATACCGGCTCTAGGGCACACGATGGCCCAGCACACACCTGGACGCAGTTTTGGCACAAGTGAGCTAGCACTCTCCCAGATGATGCCTGGTACAGTTCAGAGGACTGCACAGGCCAGGGTTTGCAAAAAATAGATGAAGGATTTGAGCAATCATTAGGGCTGGATGAAGTGGGCAGGATACAGGGACAACTCCTGAAAAACAAACTCAACTCAGACCTGCAGAGCATAGGGAACAGCAGATGCAGGTGGCTGTTCTGCTGAAATCAACTTTGCAATGTATGAGTGTGGAGCTTTTTAATAGAGAAGAACAAAGCTATGTGTTCTCAAGGTAATTTTCATTTCTACAACTGCTCTGTGCCTATTTCCTAATGAGGATCCCAAACATCAATGAGGATCCCGAACCTGAGTTCCTGCACCTCAGACACAGGTGAAGCAGACAGCAAGCTCCTGGTTGCAGCAAAGCAACGTCAGAGAAAGCCTAAGCATGAGACTTCACCATCAGTTTATGCCAATCCAAGTCTGCACGGCTGCTGCAAGGGTCTGCTGCCCCACCCTTCCAGAACCTTCCTTTTCCTCTCTTGCTGAAACAGATTTTGGTTTCATTTACTTGGATGGATTCCTTTCCAGTTAAATCAGTTCATTTCCAGTCTTTCACTGAGGACACTTTTTTTTTTCTTTAAGCTCAACAATCCAGTATAAAACCTGCATTTAAGTCAGCCTTTCCCTGCAAAGCTGATGAGCTCAGAGACTGAGTCCGCAAAGTCCAGGCTCTGTTACACTATTTATACTGTTCTCTCCAATCTCTCTTCCCCTCAAACACATTTAAGATCTGCCTCACCCTTTGGAGCTGAACTTGAGCTGAATGTGAGGAAATTAACTGTCCCTGTGACAGACAGGAAGTAGAAAACAGAGCTTTTACTGAAATATTTCACAGTTGGAAAATGTTTGCAGTCCCTTGCTACAACCCCGCAAGGGATTTTGTAGAAATATTCAGACCTACTAAGGTTAAACTTGGTAAGTTTAGCCGGAGAGACCCCCCGTGCAACATACCTGCCACCTGCAGTCATCTCGCTGGTAACAGCACCCTTACGTTGTCCTCCAAACAACTCTGTTCTGCTGTAGGAGGAAAACTCCGGTGTATCCATACTTTTACAGCAGCAGAAAATGTTTGCTGAAGTGAGAGCAGCACAGGGGATGGCGCAGTCAGGAGCACAGGACGCTATTGCAAGAGTCAGTAGCTTTCTTCCGCTTATCAGAAGGACTTTCCTCCTACAAAAAGAAACACGCCCTTCCTTTTGACGGGAAAAGACACTGTTTCTTTGCATGTGTCTAGTGTCATACCTCTCTCCATCCAATAGGAGAAGCAGGGTGGCTGGCTAAATCAGCCAGAACACTTTCAGTTTCATTCCAGTCCGATCTGCTTAGTTCTCTGTAGCTCCCCGAGCTGTGCACTGCCATCAGCCATGGCCAGCACGTCAGTCTTTGTCGTTGCTATAGATTTTGGCACGTCCTACAGTGGGTACTGTTTCTCCCTTGCTTCAGGTACAGACCAAATCCGCCAGGTATACTGGGGAACAGAGCATGGGCTCAAGACCGTGAAGACGCCCACATGCATCTTGTTCAACCAGAAGCAGGAGTTCAGGAAGTTTGGCTACGATGCTGTGATGAAGTACAAGAGCCTGCCCTCTGGAGAAGCTGACAACTGGTACTTCTTCCAGAACTTCAAGATGGAGCTGTACAATACAGTAGGTGGAATGGTTACTGCTAATGGGAGTCAGAGTTATTCATTTATTTGAAGGGTGGAAGGTAGAGGAATTGAAGAGGGCTGAGTAATCTGGCTGGTGAGGATGCATGAATAGAAATCAAAGGACATTTTGATGAACTGAAGAAGAAATTATTTATTTTCTTGATTAGCCAAAGGCTTCACAGGCCCTTCCTTTATGATGTTGTTCATTGTCTAAAGACAGTAAAACCTGACTGCACACCGCAGTGAAGCCACATACTTGTTCTTAACAGAAAACTGCCATGCTCCAGAGCTTAGCAGAGAAATTAGCCACCCTCTGAGGCTCACTGCCTCAGTCCTCCACAGGGTACAAGTGAGGCTTCCTGTAATTCAGAGGAAGTGGGCAGCCTTGGTATAACCAAAAGAGCTCCTCCACTGTTATACACCTCCCTCTAGCTTGCCTCTCCCTCCCCCGACATCATAGAATCATTTTGGTTGGAAAATACCTCTAAGATCATCAAGTCCAACTGTTAATGGTATGCTGAAGCCAATCTAAGGGTGGCTAGCTGTCTGTCAAGCCCGTAATGGCTATTATTTCTCTCCGAAGGCTCTGTGCTAGTTCAGAATTGTTCACAGCTTTTTCTGGGTTTGCTCATTCAGCCAAAGATTAGGCTACCTTAGGGACTCCTTGTCTGTGCTCCGGGGTCCCACAGGGCCTCCCAAAGATGGAATAAGCCAGAGTACAGGGCCAGCCCAAGATAAAGTCTCATGTCTGCTCTTTGGCATCCCTCAGTGCTAAGCAATGAGTGCTGAACTGGATGTGCCAGTGGGTGGAAGGTCTCTGTGAAGACTTCCCTCACCCAGGAAAGCTGGGAATGATGTGGTCTAGCACACTGTCATCTGTGGAGTGGTGGGTGCTCACTCACTTTCAGAGGGGGTTGGAGAGAGATTTTAGTTCAACCTCATTTCTTTGCACCCAAGAAGAAAATGTTTAAAGAAAAATTCATTACAGAATCACAGAATGGTTGAGGTTGGAAGGGACCTCTGGAGGTCATCTGCTCCAACCTCCCTGCTCAAGCAGGGTCACCTAGACCTGGTTGCCCAGGACTATTGTCCAGTCAGCTTTTTAATATCTCCAAGAATGGAAATTCTACAGTCTCTCTGGGCCACCATTAGAAGGGCTCAGAGACAAGAAAGTGGAACACTAATTCCCAGACAGATAACTACTTATTTCTGAATCTCCATAGAAAGTGTCCATAGAGGACATGTCATAACAGCTTCCTTATATCAACCTCTCCTAACTGAGCCAGGAACAGTGACAGGAAATGCGCTTGTAAGTAAATATGAACATAGATTCCCATTCTCTTAAGTGGCTGTATCTGCAAAACAGGATTCACCTCACCTTTCCTGGTTGTGTTTTATTTAAGCTGGGCAGCACCTGTACTGGCCTTGTTTTCTCTATTGGCTGTAAAGGATCCCAAGTTAACAGAGCTGATTATCCAGTTGTTAATCCTTGTGATTTAGGGCCGTCTTTGGTGCCTGCTGAAGCAAAACAAGGAGAGGCACGTGCAGTGAAGGCTGGCTCCTGAAACTTCTTTGGATACAGGCAACAATTCCCACTCTTTCTAGACAGAGCAGGTAATCAGGGACTGATGGAGGGACTTTTGGTCTCCAGGGAAAGATTGAAGAAGTGCCAGAGCAGCCACCTGCCTCAAGCTTCAGATACACCCCGGGGGACACATAAGCCAAGGAGGCACCTTATAGAGAAATTGTGTCAGACCAGAGGGTTATTTGTCTACATGTTTGTCCAGCATATATTTTGTTAATGTCATACACAGAAGTGTAGATGCAACTAGAAAGGTCTGAAGTCTCTATACATACACCTGGGAAATGTATGATGGTGTCACATAGAAAGTACAATTATCCTCATCAACTGTTCAGGAGGACCTACAGGGTCTTTACAAAATTTTGCCCAGGAGAAACAGTTGACTTATCAACCACATTGATATTTTGCCTATTGAATCAGACTTATCAACCACATTGATATTTTGCCTATTGAATCACTGATGTCATGAGTAAGCGATTTGGTAATTGATCTGTGTCAATTAGACCGCAGTTCGCCACAATACTGAATCCATTGCTGGGAAATTGCTCAGGTATGGAGACAGGACCTCCTTCTGTGCCATATGTTGTACAGTGCTCAGTGCTCAAGGGACAGGTCTCTTGCTGAGACTGCCACGTGTGACCCTGAGACTTTTTTTGTAGAAAGTCACTTCTGGCATGGAGCTGAAAGCCAGCAATGGAAAGACGCTACCTGCCCTGACAGTCTTTTCCGAAAGCCTACGCTACCTGAAGGAACATGCCATGAACACCATCCAAGAGGCCTCTTTCCAAACCGTCTGCGACCAGGAGGAGATCACCTGGGTCATTACCGTCCCAGCCATATGGAGCGCTGCTGCCAGGCAGTTCATGCGGCTGGTGGCAAAACAGGTAAAAGCAGGGGTTATCCCACTTCCTCAAATTATCTTTGGAGATTTCTTTACCCATCAAGGCAGAGGAACTCCTCAACATTTAAACAACCTGTGTTTCAAATTTCAGTCTACCAGGGAGAGAAACCTCCCACGTTGGGGGCAGTGGGGGAGAGGATGTCCCAAGCCATCAGTAACAATCACTCTGCCCTTTCCCCCCAGTGCCATGTAGGAATGAGC